GGTTATAGGAGTATCCAAGTGATCCAGAGCAAGGTTCCATTAATTGTGGAGGATCTGTTGAAGGGATTGCATAGGAGCCCGGCCAAGGAGTATGGGAGGAGTCATAGAAGACCACATCTCCAAAAGTGATAGAACACGATGAGCAGAAAGTGAAAAAGCAGAAAGGACTTTCTAAATCGCCAGTTCCATAGGACAGAGTCAGAGAGGAGAAGGTTGGGCCCAACTGAGATGGGTGTTGAAGAAAACACCCAGATGAACAAGGTACTGGGTAGGATGAAGGAAGGAGTTCTACAATTTGATCAACCAGCCCACTCGAGAAGCTTCAAGAAGAAGCTGATGAGTATGACAGACCAACTCCCGTTCAGAATGAGCGAGAAGAAGCCACTCGTCCATGTAAAACTGAAAGCACAACCCCAGGGCATGAAGCTGTAGAGTTCAAACCACCTGATAGAAAACATACAGCAGCAAAGGCAGCTTGAAGGGTAGGGCACAAAATTGGTACACCACCCCACAATTGACAAACTAAAGGTCAAGAATGCTTGATGACCAGCTTCCATTCCCCAGTCTTTTTGGGAACTATAAACAGTTGGGAGTAAAACTGCCACAAACTTGTTTGTTAGCCTGTTCTGTGAGAAGGTCTTGCACCTCCTCAGATACATGCTGGCATGACAAGTGATCCCGAGGAGGAGGAAAGGAAACAGACATGCAAGACAAGGGAGGAAGTGTAAGAAAAGGTATGACAAATTTCTCTGACAAAACTTTGTGAACCCAAACATCAGAGATGAAAGAAGTTTGCCAGATGAACTCTCACTGGACCCGAACACACCAGGTAGTCACCAGAACCATTGTTGGCATACCATGTGTTGTCATTAAAAACGATGAAGAGTGGCACCACGGGAAGAAGGAACAGGCAATATCTGTGAACGGGAGGGACGGGAGACAGGAATTGATAGCATGCTTGGCTCTGACTGGGACAAATGGGCCACCATATGAGAAAGGGTGGATTGTTGTTGGACCAAAGCCGTCCTCGACTCCAAAGAATCAGGGATCATGTCAAACACGAAACATATCAAAATCAGGGCCATACGAAGGTCCCATAGATAAAAAGCCGGGAGACGGGTCCCTGAAAATATGGCATCACGAACCCAAAGATCCCAACAAGAAGTAAACCATGTTTGCAGAGCCAGAGCTGAAGATGATAGATGGGCCAACATGGAAGTGAGGAAGAAGAGGGCATCCCCAGAAAACCCCTCAAGGTTCCTGTGAAGAGCCTCAGACAGAAGATAGATCGAGGAGAGGTATTGCAAAGGAATCATCAGGGTAAGACGATGGCGAGAATAATGGGCATGGTTAAGATGAACAGGCAAAACTGAATCCAATAATTGTTGGTCCGAATATGGAGAGTCCACCCTATGATAAGCAAGGGCGAACTGATTGGAAACCCACGAGGGATGAGGCATAATAACGCCATCACCTAAATGGGAGGCAAAATGCTCAGTGTGAACCTGAGTATCAAGGGATGGGGGAAAAACTAAATAAGGTTGGAAGGCAGAATCATGTAATAGTGAAGGATATGGGTCATAAGAAATAGCAGCAATAGACAAAACATCGCATACCTGAAAAATAAAATCCGAGAAAGCCGACAAGGGCTGAACAAAATCCTCAGGTAGGGTTTGGGAAGGCACATCGAGCTTTGGGAGGGGAGGGAATCAAACGATCAAAATTCTCGTTAGCCTAGTCAGTCCCGAAAGGCTCAGGAGGAAGAGGGGCAACAGCAGGAGGCAAAGGTTGTCTCACATAACACTCAATCTCCCTGCAATTAAAGGCCGATAAATCCCCCGATAGGTCGCCTGCACCTGTGGCCTGATGAATGGGATGTACCCGATGTTAACTTCGGAATTCATGCTTGATACCAAACAAACAAGCGAAAAATTTGCGACAAAACTCGGGTAAATCAAATGCTTTCGAAAACAAAGCAAAAAATCTTGAAATAAAGTAAATTAAATTAAACCACTGCGAGAACTAATGAGCAAAATGAAAGATGTCTGAACTCAAGCACTGCCAAATAAGTGGTGGTTGGTAGTGGCGCATAGAGGGAGTCACACGCATCACATGATAGTAGTGCTCTCCTATTGGTGGAGAGATGAGGCATGATGATTTACATGAGACACACATTGGAAACTTTTATTCCAATAAGAGGATGCGGAAGGCTTGTGGCATGAGTTATAAAAACGTTCACATAAAGAGGGCAGCACAAAACAGGAAAAGCTAATTTTGTGAGGTGAGGGAAGTATCGTATCAGAATATGCTTCCTATCCTGCCAAACTTTATATTTGTGTTCCCTTGTTCAATCATTCTCACTATTACATATGTAAAAAAGGTGATGCATCAGTGCATCAAATTATCAGTTCCTTTAACATTCTTACATACTTCAATCAGATCTCTTTCAACTATTCTTTTTCCAAGAGAAAACAATTTCAGAGATATTAACCTGGCCTCCTATGACAACCCTTTCATCCCAGATATTATCCTAGTAGCCCTCCTTTTGAACCCTTTTAAATAATTCAGTGTCCTTCCTAAGGTAAGGAACACAAGACTAAACACAGTACTCCAATTAATGCCTAACCAATAATCTATGCAATGACGTTATAATCTCTTTAGACTTGAATTCAATTTATCTGTAGATACAACCTCAAATCCTCTTTGCCCTGCCACTAGCAACAGCATATTACTTATCAAACTGATCAACTAAAAAACCAAGATCTTTTCATTTCATAACACTGTTAAGGTTATTTATATCAAAATTATATTTCAATTTATAATCTCCAACATGCATTATTTTGCATTTATTATAATTACAAGCCATCTGCCATCTATATACCAAACTCACCAAATAATCTAAATACATTTATAAAGCTGCAAGACCATCCTCACAGTCAACAAATATAAATAATTTATTAACCATTCATAGATGTAAATATAAATGTGAAGATCTCAAAATTTGAGCCCTGAACTACCCTACCCCACTTGTGACATCAATCCAATTTGAGTAAACACTATCTAACAACCCTCTGCTTTCTTTCAACGAGCCAGTTTTCTATCCAATAAGCCAACCTAGCCCTCACACCTACAAAGATAATTATTCAACAAGCCTTTTAAGTTGCACCTTGTCAAATGATTTCTGAAAATGTAGATACACCTAATCCACACCCGTATCCTCATCTATGTAAATAGTATTCTCTTCAGAGAATGTCAAGTGATTAGTAAGGCAACATTTTCCCATAATAAAAACATTATGACTATCAAACAAAATTTTGAACTATGTTAAATGATTTCCAAAGCATGTCTTATCAGACTTTCAAAAACTTTTCCCACTAGTGATGTAAGACTAATAGGCCTATAATCACAGGGACAGTTTGTATCACCTCCCTTCAAAATAGGAGTAATGTTAGCCAAGTTCCAATGTTTTGGCACCTGCCCTCTATTCAAGGACTTCTTATTCTTACCTTCTTCAAAACCTTTTGGGAAATATTATCTGGACCACGAGCTTTATTATTCTTTAAACTTCCCAATCTTTTCTTAAGAAGCACAGAATTAATTTGATCATCTTGTTCAATCATGTTTCCACCTATCAATAATTCAGAATGAGGAATATTGCTTAAATCGTCATTAGTAACTACTGAAGAAACAACACAGTTTAATAACACAACCATATCATAATCGTCCTGTATCATCTCTCAATGGACCTACTTCCATCCTAACATTATGCTTACCCTTAATGTACTTAAAGAAATCTTTACTATTAATTTTTACATTTTCAGCCAACCTTTCACATTTATCTTTTTCAATTTCCTAATTTCCCCTTTGACCAGATCTCCTGATCTACAAGTAAAGAAAAACTTTTCAAAAAAGGAGTAAATGTAAGGATGGCTAATATCAATACTTCAAAAACAATGTAAACAAGATAGTAGGGATGGCATTTGCATCGTCCCTACATCTACTACTTCACCAAATTTCTATAAGAAAGCTAACTTCAAGGGGTAATGATAACATCGTTTACTCTAGAATTGTGATTTTTTTTAATTACTACTAGTTATTAATAATATTTATAAAATTGTATATTCTGTTTGAAACTATGTCACCTCAGTGAAATTGGTTGACACCATCATTTGGGTTTTTGAGTTATCATGTAATAAAAAGAAGCAGCAGAAAGAAGAAATTCAAACTCGTTGCTATAGCATTTACAGACATTCCCAGAACTTGTGACTCAGTCATTACATAGAAATTGTTATAAAAGAAAACACTGTATAATATTGTAAGGTTCTGATGACTTATTGAGGAGATATTTGAAATACCATTTCAATGAACAACCTGAGCCATCCCTACATAAACAGTACTACTACCTGCTTGATAATTCTCTAAATCTTCTATCATTGCAGCCACTTTAAAATTCTTAAATTTATAATGCTTTTCTTTAATAATTTTATGCTTTATAACCTTTGTGAGCCAAACTGATTTTCTGCTTGCAGCCACCCATGTTTTTGTTTATATAAGAAGCACACCTGTCTTGAATATTTGAGAATATATTTCAAAAGTTTTCCACATTTGATCAGTATCTCCAACTAATTCAGTTGCTCAACTCACTGCACATAATTCTTTTCTCATTTCTTCAAAAATTTACTTTTTTGAAATTTGGAAAAAACATCATATTATTCCTTATCTCCTATACAGCAAAACATCAGATCTGAGCAATGATCACTTGCACACAGATGTTCACCAACCTCTACTCTATCAACCATTTTTTTAATTAAAAATTAAAATAAATCTAAAATAGCATTGTTCTTATAGGTTCCCTAACCTATATCATTGAAGAAAACCATCCTGATTTGACTGTAACATTTCCCAATCTATATGCCTAAAAATAAAATCTCCCATAATTATGACATCATTTACAGATGAAGTTTTTATTTCACTGTGGAGTTTCTCATCGATTTCATCAGTTTCATATGATGGTTTGTTAGAAATTCTAACTAAAAGCCTTTTGCCCCTTATAACTACTAACAGAAACCCAAATAGATTCAATCTCATTGCTATTAATTTTAATATTCTCAAATTGAAAAATATTTAACTTTTATTTTACATCTTTTACATCTTACCCCATCATTTTGTACTCTATCCCAATTAAATAACCTACAACCTTATATTTTAAAGAACTTTTTGTCATCAAAATTGTTTATGTTTAACTAAGTTTCAGTTATTCCTACTACAGTACTGTGCCAAAGTGTTAGGACAAGACAATATTTTGTCATTCTTTCCATTTTATGGGGCTAATTCTTCCATGCCATTACATAATGTAAATTTCAACACTATGGTAATGCTTCACTGTTCCCGATTG